TTTTTTTTTTTTTTTTTTAAAGGAGCGTTTCCCAGACTGTCTCTTCTCAGTTCACATAGCCAACTTAATTTCAGGTTATAGCAAGGCTTGCTATTACATTATTTTATACAGTTTACCATATCATAAAAGAGAACTTTATCACAGCATTTATTATAGTCCCCAGTGTTTATCATCATTGTGCATACTATATACTTTTCTCTTTCTCTGGGTGCATTTGCTTCTCACTTTTTATTTTGTATTTCCTTTTATTCCATTACTTAGCATTTAAAGGCTCCAGCTGCAGTTATAGTTCTTTTGTTTTGGATGCTCTGATGGCAGGTATTCCCCAAGTTCTTTCAATCTAAATATAGAAGAGTGAGAATTATTTCATTTTTATAAAAAAATAAATCTACACTCAGAGTGAAGTGATTAGTCTGAGATTTGATTGAATCAGAAACCTGACAGAAATTGAACCCACATCTCCTAAATCCACACCATCACTTGCTACAGCTTTTCTGTAAGAATTCTCCTGGTTGCTTTGTTTTTAAAATCATGTTTTGCTGCCTTAAATATATTTATCTTTCCTGTGGTACACAAGACCCCTGCTCCCATACAGAAAAGAAAATTGAAATTTACTACACAGCAAATTCCGTCAATTGCACAAAGAGAATGTAAAATGCTTACAGTTCTAGTGGTCCATTATAACAATGGGGAAAATATTTGCAGTCCTAAGTATGATTTTGAAAATGGTGCCCTTGGAAACATTCAAATCAATGTTAACTTTCTTGTTAGAAATGTGTAACCTTTGGGCCTCCTTTTTGTTAGACATCTGTCACCAGATCCTGGATCTGTACTCACAGGGGAAACAGCAAATGCCTCATCATACACCACACCAACTGCAACAGCCACCATCCCTTCAATCTACACCTCAGGTGCCTGCAATACAGCCATCACAGCAATCTCAAAGTTCTGAGCAGTCACAGACACAGCAGAAGGAGTCCCAACAGTCAGCACAGCAGCAGCAGCAGCAACAGACACAAGCACAGCAATCTAAAAAGCCTTCTCCCCAGTCAAGTCCTCCCAGGCAGGCTAAGAGACCAGCGGTATGTTGACCTGAACTTGTATTTTATATTCAAGTGAATAACGTATTTTCCTTGCCAAAGACTTTGGAATGCAGCAAATCTTATCTTATCAGGCTTGCTTTGTTGCAAATATCTTAATTTCATAGGATACAGCCTTATTGTTAATACGTGTTTAATATTTATTAGCTAACAGCTTTGACAACATAGACAAATTTGGTACATGGTACGTTCCACCCAACAAACATAAATGGCAAACAGACTTCTAATGTAATGTATGAACAGTTGTTTGTGGGTTTTTGTGGAGTTCTTTTTTTCTTGGCTCAAATAATGGTTCTGTTCTGAAAAGTGAGTATAGCAAGTGGTTTTTAGTTCTGTCCCCTTGGTGTATTGAAACAGGCATCTTTGCTTTAGTGGCAAAAGAATCTTCTTATTCTTGTCAAGACTGCTTTGCCAGCACTTTTCTTTATAATCAACCAAATTGTTTGCTATGCTGTAGTCTGTTCCATATATGCATACTAGTGAAAAGATGTGAGTTTGCATGGGGGTTGACTAGGAGAATCTTTATTCCAAGAGATGATGCAAAAGAAGTGGCAATCCTAACTCTGCTTTCAGAAACCAGATTGAGTTGGCAGTATTGGCCATCAGGAAAAAGTCTTCCAAAATGAGCATATTTGTGATTATATTTATCAGCCTATCCTAAGGAATAGACTGAAAATATGGAGCTCTGCTGTTGTTAGACACTTTCATTGGAACTATTTAAAAGTTTTGCATATTCCTATTGTTATAGTAAAAAAAAAAAAAAAAAGAGTTTTATGCATTTCAAGTCTTCTGTTTTATATTGTATAGTGTAACCCATTCAAATAAAAGAGCACACTGGAGCCTAGGCAAAATCTCGGATATTCCAGTTGCAACCTAAGTAAACCCATGTTGAAGTACAGCTCTTGGTCCTCAAACTTGTATGCAATTAGCAAAATTATCTCCTGTATCACATGGATGTTTTGATAACTTACTCAGACATCAGTGGAATAACCAGGGCATTATCCACACAAGAGCCTCCGACAGCTGTTCTCTCAGTCTGTTTAGGATGAGTGTGTTCCGTGGTTCTAGAGCCTCAAAATAAATCCTTTTATATGCTCTTAATGGCTTATATTGTGACCTACTGCAGCTAATTCAGGTTCAGTTTGAGCAAACAAGAGGCAGCCACCCTGCAGAGAAGCAGGAGATGGAGTGCATGATACAAAAATGGGCGAAAGATATATAACATCCTAGAAACAGGAACCAGGAAAAAAACAAAGCTGCTTGGGTCTGAATTACTCTTTATAATATGTACAGTAATTTCTGCTGATGAAACAGAGCCAGATCTGCGAAGGAGCTTGCAGCTGTATAGCACTATGCAGTAATTCAGTATGCTTTTTTATATAAATAAATAAGCTTTTTTATAATTTGCTATTTTGAGGAAAATTGAGGGAAAATAACATTGTAAAAACTATGGAGTGAAGTAAGAGAAACCCACATTCAGTATAAAATTTTAGGTGAACTGGCATCAGGGTTGTACAAAAGAATGTAGCAGCTGACAAATAAAATAGTAGTTATATGCTGAATTAATCCCAGGCTAACCACAGCATGATGGGGCAGCAGCAAGGTGCATATTGTTTAGAGAATTGCTTGTCTCCAGAACAGTTTTGGTTGAACTGAGTATATGGCTTCCTGAGACAGCCTAATAGTTCCTATAAATAGGGGTGATGTAACTTTCACTTCAGCTTTTATACAGGATAAAGGTATGTTCCTGGGAGATGCATAAATCACTTAAGCCAATTGTCATAGTTTAGTGGAGTTATGACACTTCATGCCAGTTCAGGTGGCTCCTTATCACCTTAACAAATGTCTGTGTAAATCACCTGCACCTGAACCATTGGTCAATTGAGCACTCTGATCTTCTTACCATGGGGCAAAGCTAAGCTATAAGTAGGGGCTGATATTTACATGGATTTCTTAAAAGTACCAAAGGAACAGTTATGTGTGTGAGGCAACCCCACAACATCTAAAACTGATAAGAATGAACTACTCTCAAACAGCAGTGTGTCTAGTCTGACACTTGTTAAAATACTACTGTTGAACCTGGGAATATCAGCCTGCAACACAACTGAACAACTAATTTTAAAACAAAAAAACAATTCTCATTTCGTTAGAATTTGCTAAAATATGTTGGCCAGTATCAGCAGGGCAAGGAACACCAGACAGTTGTTTACCAGGGTAAAATTCTTTGGCCTTGTGCATCAGTGGTAGAAAAATCGCAACGGGCATTCATTTTCATAATTGGGTATGCAACATATATGTAGCTTTACTTGTGATCAGACAAGTAACGTAATAGCTACATAAAATTATAGGCAGTTACAAAAGCTTGTGGCTTCTTAGTCACTCTGAAGATTTGAGATGGTTAATACATTTGTAAGTTTGTCACAGCTGGACAAGTGCTATTTGTAGAGTTGCAATTAATCTTTGGATTAGAAATAGCAACAAAAGTGGGGATGCAGCAGTATTAAAGTGGAAGATAATTAGAATTATATAATACATGCCAACCTTTGGTATATACAGCCTTTTTTCATAGAGTTCTTCTCACATAGTTGATTTTTAAATAATGTTTGGTCCTTTGTCATCACTGACCGAAAACTGGCATCCTTGTGAAAACAGTTAGAAAACCAACTTGAAATTTGAAACGGCTCACAGCCCTAGTGATTGGCACACAGAAAAGCAGATACTGCCAAAAATGTTGTTTAGTTTTGTTACAGTTCATGTTATTTAGAGGCTTTGTAGTATTTTATTTTTCAGGACAATCTTATTAAATCATGAACTTCGCATTAAAGTGGGTTACAAGAGGTTCTTTAGATACGTGGGGATGTGACACCCTTAAATTCTGTGTTTGTTTGGTTATAGTTATTTAGTGTGTGTTAGTTTTTTGGGCAGCTATTTTGAACCTCTGGAAAACTACTTTATATGGAGGGGACAGAACTGTTTACTCATGGTAAACTCTAGGAAAGAATCAGTATAATTTTAAATTAGGCATCAAAGAAAGCACCATGTTTGCTTAATGCAGTGGTTCTCAAACTTTTTAGACTCAAGGCACCCCTTGGGGAAAAGCCAACAACAGGTCAGAATGCTTTTAACAGTAGGGATTCCTATTTGAACTCTTTGGGCTTATTTTGTGAATCTTGTTTGCATACTTAACAGTGCTAACATTGCAGGACACCCTTGAAATGTGCTCAAGGCACCCCAGGGTGCTGCAGTACCCAGGTTAAGAATCACTGGCATAATGATAGTAGTCAGGTTAAATCTAGAACCAGGATCTTGCCTTATTGGGAGGCACTATGGTTACGGGGATGGAACCAGAATAACACTGTATGCAGGCTAGAAGCAAGGCAGCTTAGGGCCGTCTGCAGGAGTGTACTTGTGTCTGCATTTAAAATCATGCAGGATGGTTTTATAGACTTTTTAAAACTCTGCCTGGCTCTGAGGTATTTAATTCTTGTTTAAATCCCTGTTAGACTACTGAACTTCTCAAACTCCATTGGTTTTAAATGGTTATTTTGACTGTGCATAATTGCAAGGTCTAGGAGTGTGAACTTTAGTTTGCAAGAAAGCTTATGGAATATTGAGGAATTCAGATACCTTTAAAAAATAAAATAAAAATAAAGATATGGAATTTCAGTGCCATACCAATGTCGTGGTAGGATGTTGCAAAGAAAACCTTCTTTTAGTGTTGAAAACATTTATTTGTCTAACTCCCACATGTGTAGTACATGTCTGAGTTTGGCAGGTATGCCAGTTTAGTGATATTATGGTAACAGTTGGCTCTTACAGCACTTTCTGTATAAGATTTTGAAGCACTTTACGAAATACTTTACAACCTAATGATTAGGTAACTAAAGCAGAAAGAAGGAAAATGACCTAGCAAAGTTCTCACAAGGAATGTGAGGAAGAGGTAGGACCAGAACCCAAGTCTCCTGATTCTTGGTGTTTGATTAATTTGGTGGTCCATGATGCGTCTGCAGTAAATTATGACTAGATTCAACTAGCTGGTGACACTCACCAACAGGGATTGCAACAGGCAATGTTATGTTTCAAGTAGCTGCATTTTCCAGATATTTTATATTCTCATTTGTAACTATCTACTTTCTATCCAAACTCCCAGCTTCTCGCTTCCTGATTCACCATTTTCTGTGGTGTCCAACACTTCTTGCTAAAGGCTTTGGAAAATCATTATTCTTGTACTTTTTTATTTTGAAAAAAGAGAACAGAATTGTGTTGTGTTAGCACAAAGTTCTTGCTCATGTGTTGAAAACAGATATAAGGAAATTCAGGTATAACGGGCCTTAATAAACTGAATCCTATTAGTAGAATATATTTGCTAATTATAAGTAATTTCAGAATGTTTCAGATCTTATGTTGTATAGTTCTTGATTTTGATATGAACTCTATTTTCAATAACAGCCTGTGTCCCCAAAGGAAGAAGCCAAGGCATCAGGTAAATATGATATTTTCTGTCCTATACCTTTCACAACAAAATTGCATATCTCCTCTGGTTAGTTTCCTTCTATAATTTGTTTGCACTGATCATGCAGACTCTTTCAATAAAAAAGTCTTAGTTGTAGAAGTTCCATAAGCAATATTTTTAAGAGTCCTGTATTGCTTAACCAAATTAACAAACCTTTCTCATCTTCTAATTAAAGAACATGAATTTTTGTAGGTAGTTTTTCACCCAGTACTCAGTAATTTGTAGCATCTTGATGCTGACTGAAAGTGTCATGGTATTGAGTAGCAGTGGGACTAACACTGAACATTGTAAAAGTTCCATCTGCAATGCAAGGTAACTTAAGTTTGTAACCATTTATTGGCAAGACTGCGTGTAGACACAGTTTTTACCCTTTCTCAGCAAATTTAGTTTGTAGTGACTTGCATTTAACCATATGTTTCTCTTGTCAAAACTCTGAACTAACATGAAATGCTGTTTGCTTCTAATACCAACTGTAAAGCTGTTACTTTGCTATGCAGTTTAGGATGGGTTTGTGTGTCTGGGTATGTGTTCCAGACCTGCTGCTCTGGGTTGCTATGCCTGAACTGCTGTTCATAGCTGGTTATGCAACCAAGTCTCTAGCTGGTTATAATCGTGGTTAAAAGTTACTGTGGAGAGATCCTTTTAGTAATTTAATGTATGTTACAACATACAATAAATTCTAATCTGTCTGAAAGCTCAGTTGTTGTCTTCGAGTTCAAAGTTGTGTTTTATTCAGTTTGTATATTTTTATTAATTTTGTAATACTCATAGCTTCTACACATCTTCTTTTCCAGAACCTCCACCACCATCTAAAATTCCTAAAATTGAAACCTCTCATCCACCAATACCCCCTGTGCATCCACCTCCAGGTAAGTTTTACTGAGAAGTGTGTCCCATAATATTGTTCCTATTGGAGCTCTCCGAGTTGAATGCTTGAATTTTTTCTTTGTTGACTGGAACTGAAAGTGTCTCCTGTTGCTTTAATCCCTTTGGCAACATTGAGAACACTGGATTAGGCCTAGAGGGAGTTGCATCCTAGCAATGTGGGTTTCTTGTGATCTGGGAAGGTTATCTTGACAGAAATAACATTCTGAAGACTCAAAAAAACCAAAAAAAGCTGGGAGACTCGTCAGGTTTGCAAGGAGCATTCAAGAGGAAAAATGCTTTTTTAGCTGGAAACTACCCAGAAGGGTAAATATGACAGGTAACAAACTATCTAATGTGAGGAGCAGCTGCATGCCTTCCTGGTATGGTAGCTGGAACAGGCCTCCATCTCCCAAACTTCTTTGCTTTGCTATATCTGAGACTGATGATACCCAAGCTAGTTTAATGCCAGATACAAAAAAACTTTGTCAAAATGTATTTGGGAGAAAAAAAAGGAATGGAAGAAGTAAGGTTATAGGTTGCATTTTGCTGTAATTTTGGCAATCGCTATCTTTGAGGCTTTGAATATTCAAAGTTATGTATTCTTCACCAGTTTGAAAAATCTTTGGAGAACTATAGTAGAACAACTGCCAGTATTAGGAATATTGTGCAGGAACCAGCATTGTAGCATTGTTGTTTTGCCTTGGAAGAGCTGCACTATGTCTTGAACTTGATGTCTTGAAGAGATTTTTTTTCAATGGCAATACAAATGTTTGCAAAATGGGCATATTTTTTAGCTGGGTATAGTTTTATAAGAAATGTTTAAGGATCTGACTACTTATTTGAGGATCAAGTCCATATAGATTTGAAGCTTTAATTTTATGTCAGAGGATCTGCTCATCACACCTGTTGTATGTGGTACATGTTGGATAAGGAGTTCTGTAGTTGCAGTAGTGATGTATAGAAATAGATTAAGTTCATCATATATCTGAAAGCCTTAACTTTTGAGGCTTAAGATCTTTGCATAAAGAGGGAACATTTAATCTATTGTGATTGTTATAATGGGTTAAGGTAAGAGAACAACCACCGTTTAAACCACGCCATTTTTTTTCTTCTATCCTGATGACGGTCTAAGTTGCATGAAGCAGGCTTATTTGACAATCAAAAAATTCTGGCTGCAGACTGGGCAGTTAACCTTTCTAGCCATTTTCAGTTACTGTCAGTGTTTTGCTGTTGGCAAAGGTGAAACTGAATTAAGAGGCAAGGGTCTCTGAGTAACAAGGTAAGGAGTCTTAATGAGACATGAGGAGCTGAGAGCAGGCTGCTCCTGCACCAGTTAGCTGGCACACTTAACTGGGCAGAAAGGCATCTTTTATTATTGAAATCAGTGGGATTTGGCAGATGGTTAGTATCATTTGTTTTATTTACATGCCTGTCTGCCTTATCTAGGGCATCTTCAGTGGCTTATCCTGTAAATAGAAATTTCTCTGAATGCCTAAGGGTTTTGATAGTGATGAATGCAGCAGTTAAGAGCCTAGTCAAATCTGTGAACCTTTTCTATGTTGTTTGGTTAAGGTCCACTCCAGTGTAAAAGTCAGAGAAGCCTCCAGAAAGCAGTGCCATGGAAAGGCAAGTTTATAGATTCTGGAAGTATAGCAGATCATTTGTTGCATTGATGTTTTTCTGGAAACAAGGGCCCTTTGGATTTCCCAAGACATTGAATAGCAGGTAAAAAGAGACATGGAGGCTTTTAAAAGCCAACAGGTGCCATGTGAACAGTAGGCATCCCTTCGCCTCCATGTCCCACGCCAGGTCTCTAGTATACGTACCTGCACACAGGTTCTGGTTCCTCTACTGTGGTAGGCAGCAGGAAACAGCTTTTTCCTTGGCTGATCTCCCAAAAGAGAGTGACTTCTGCCAGAGTAGTTTGATGCGCATACACCATATGTTTTTAAAAGGAACTGTAGTATTGTAAAATGTGTTTCCAGTGCCTTGACACATTAGCTGTCCTTCTACTGACCCTAAGATATGACATGAATATTTTATAGTGCATCCTGCATTTTGAAACCTTAAAATGACAGCTCCTAATGGTACCGACAAGAAGCAGAAAAGCATAGTGGTAGGGTGTGTGTTAGAACTATAAAAAAGGAACAGTACCTGCTCCTTTCCCACCTGTCTCATGTGTAAAGCTCCAGGTCTTCATAAGTATACTAAATGCATTAGTAACATCACAGTCGGTCTGCATAATTCTGTGTAAATCCTGGCTGTACATACCTGGCAGTTGAGCAGAAGGGTCTGTAAATTGGTCTTTCTCTTGAATGAGCTGTAGTCTTTATGTTAAGTTGTGGGCATTCTTTCTGCTCTGCTTGGGGTCGTGCCTGTTTTTAAGGGTGGATAAACAATCCCAACTCCACTGGAGCTAAATTGGTTAGGAATTTGTTGTGGTCCTCTCTGGTTACATAAAACAATTTTGCTTGCAAAGACAACCTAGGAAACAGTGTAACGTGGCATAGTGACACTTCCCTGACTTGGCAGACTATCTGCAGCAGTTCTAGGAGCTGTCCTGGACACCTCGGATTTGGGAACCCTGAAACATTATGCAAATCCCAGCAGTCACCGTTTCATCATTGTAGCAGATCCATCCTGAGCGAGTGTGAACCTCTGTCCCAGGTACCCCTTAGTTTAGAAGTTCTAGTTGGCAAAGGCCCCAGTTGTCCTTGTGGCTGGGCATCATCTGATATCTGTCAAAAGACGCTACAAGCTGAAAATGTGTGGAATAAGATTGGAAATAGAGAATATCAGGCCATTGTAATGATTGTGTTCTTTTACATAGTATTACATCCAGAAGTTTAAGTGAGGCTGCTGCAGACTGTACCAGGCAATAATTACAGGGCTTAAATGATACTCACTGCTGTAATGTTTAGCTTTTATTTTCAATCCTGCCTCTCACTTTCATTTAGTTTGCCCCTGTGTGCCACAATGGGGAATGGGAATGTCATACAGGATTTTGTTTCACATATGCTCCCTTAGTTTCTCACTTTTCACTTGATGATGTTTTTAACATGAGTCTATCCTGATTTAGTTTCTGATTTCTCACAGCTTTTTTTTTTTTTTTTTAGGACTTAGGCTCAGAGCCAATCTGATTTACCTTTGGGTGAAAGAATTGCTGTCTTAGTTCAAATTGTTGCTTATTCAGCAGTTGAAGAATAGCACAAGTAGCCTGGGTTCTCTCTCCCCTCTTTTACTGCTGTTTTAGTTCTTCTGTCAGTCAGCAGTGGAATGGCAGCTCTGTAATACTGCTGCTACATGGCTTTTTGAGTGAAAAAATGTTTTGTACTTTATTCTAATGCTCTTTAGACTCTTGTGATACAAAGGTGAGGCATATGCCTGCCATATACAAGTTTATTTCTGGAAGTCAAGCTTTTTAATACAGGAAACCCTTGCTGTAGGTTCAGTGTTCGCGGTTTTAAATGTTTGCAAATGCATCTTAAATACTTACAGGAGCTCCTTGGGAGGTCTGTGCTTGCTGCCGCCAGGCTCCTGCCATCACCAACAGTTGTGCCCCCCCCCCAGCTGCTGGGGGCACTGCGTTCATGACGTTTGTGAACGCAGTGCCGCATTTGCAGATTTTGCCATTTGTGGGGATCTCAAGAACATCCCCCACAAATGGCGAGGGTTGCCTGGGCTCGCTGCTCTGTTCTGAAGGGATGTTTCAGTTGGGTCCCATTAAGGAGAAACACTAGTCTACTAAGTATTCAAGCCAGACCAGATATTTCCTTTTCCCTAACATTTATCCCAGTCAGCCTGAAGCTTCACCAGTCTGATCTTATTTGGGGATTAACCTCTCCTCCCACCAAATATTTCTTTTAATCTAATGCGTGTGTAGAAAATGAAAGCTAAAAACTCATTTGGTTTGAGCATTTTCCTAAATTCATTCTGGCTTTTTATTTTTTCACCAGTTGTGCTGTTTGGCACCTTGCACATGTAAGAGTCGTCTTAAAAGCTAATATTCCAGTCTAGGGGTGGCCAGGCTGCAGGACACATGCAACAAGTAGCATACTGCAGATCTTGGAGGGAGGAAAGAAACAGCGATAGGGCAGGGGGCACAGGCCTGGAAGCAGAGGAAGAGGATTGGAGTAGCATTCCAGGAGGACATGGGGCTAGCTTGTGGCATGCGTATCAAAGGTTTGCCCCCTCAGTTCTGCTCAGTTTTCCTCTCCTGCCTCTGCTGTTTGATCAGTTTTTCTATGCAGCAAGCTTTGAGTTGTGTGTAAGGGAGAAAACAGCAGTTGTCTAGCATGCCAGCAGGCTGGTCATTCTTCTCCCTTGGTCAGTGATCAAGAATCCAGTTGAACAAGGCCCATCAGCTTCTGTTGGGTTGGTAGGCTTGCATAAATGCATGTTCCTAGATCTCTGAAGCTGCATGATGAAACCAGCTTTGTTAACAAGATGCACTAAAAGTTGTGAAGAGTTGCATCTGATTTTAAGAAGCCAGCATTTTCCAGCATAGGTAGGATTAAACTCGGCAGTAAATTTCACATTTTTCTTTAAAGAAATGACCAAGCTTAAATCAGCTCACTTGTCATGGGAAGGACCAGTACAGTAGCACCTGCCCTTTTGTCAACCTTAATTTTTTAAGTGTTACCAGGGTCCGATACAGTTGATGCAAACATTCCAATCCCAAATAATCAACATGTAGCTAGAGAAAATGAGGTCCACATTTGACATGGAACTCCCTGAAAATACAGCCGTGTCGGCAGAATCCTTTAACTGCTGTGCTGCAGAAGAATCAGTTATGCTTTTTGTCTGTTCCAGAGCGCAAGCCACCTCTAACAACTGCGGTTTCAATGGGAGAAGCAGAACAGACTACTACAGTGGACTCTGTAGACATGCCAAAGGTCCAGATTCCTCCTCCAACTCATCCTGCACCAGTACATCAGCCACCACCTCTGCCTCATCGCCCACCACCACCACCACCCACCAGCTACATAACAGGGATGTCGACTACAAATTCATATATGTCAGGGGAGGGTTATCAGAGTCTTCAGTCAATGATGAAAGCAGAAGGACCAACTTACGGAGCTTTGCCACCAGCCTATGGACCACCAACTCATTTACCATACCATCCTCATGTGTATCCTCCTAACCCTCCACCACCTGTTCCACCCCCCCCAACATCATTCCCACCACCCAATCTCCCACCTCCTACTCCTGGGTACCCTCCTCCACCTACATACAATCCTAACTTTCCTCCTCCACGACTGCCTCCAACTCATGCAGTTCCACCTCATCCACCACCTCCAGGGCTAGGAATGCCACCAGCTAGTTATCCCCCTCCTGCAGTTCCTCCTGGTGGACAACCACCAGTGCCACCTCCAATACCACCACCTGGTATGCCTCCTGTAGCAGGACTTGGACGTGCTACGTGGATGAGATAGCATGAGATACTTGTGTACAAATCCTTTAACTTGGAAGAATAATTTTAAGAGGCTGAATAGTTAAGAAGCAACCATATCGTGAAGATAAATAGGAGGACAATTTGTATAATCTAGCTTCTGATACAATACAAGAACATTATGGAACATGAAATCTTAGTTTATCTATTTTCAGTATTGTTAATGGTTAAATTATAGGCTTTTAGTATAGGTATTGCAAAGCAAATTAAAATCCAACTTTATACACTTAGTTTAAACTTGAGTTTTCTGACTTATTCCAGCATTGGATTACTTTGTACTAGGAAAAATGTTAACCAGCCATATTGGCTCAGTTATATCAATAAGAAGTAAATTTCCTTCTAGAAATCAGTGCCTACTTTTTGAGTATAAAAATAGTCAGATACCTTAACTTTCCACCTAGAGTGAGAAGCTTCATTTTCATTGAGCAGTTCTCCTAACTAAATATTGAGTGTCACTGGAGAGTTACTTTATTTTAAATACATGTTTCCAACCACTAGCTGACTAAAATCATTTTGAGGTCTTTGCCTTGCTGATATTTTTGTTTTGGAATGTACTGGTATCTTGAAAAGCAATGTATGTTTACACCTATTAACAAATTCCTGTACATAAATATATATATTTTCTAAGTGTGAAGGTATGAATGTAACATACTGTGATTTACACCTTGGTTATGAGTGGGACTACTTCATTTACCCAAATAAAATTGGTTCTGAATTTAGTGGGAAGTCTTTGTTCCTTTCTCAAATCATCTCCAGGCAAACCATTTCCTTAAGAGTGGTATTCCTGCTTGTATTGTGGCAACATGTTCTGTTGTAGCAGTACAGGTTGGTGCTCTACAGCTGATATTCACAACCCACATTAAGAAAAAACAGCAGTGTTCTACCAATATTTAGACTCGTATTTTACAAAGAATGTACTTTATTTTATTCAACTGAAAGTATACACTATCACAATCTCTTACTTCATTTTTACTAAAATATTTCAAAATGAATGTTTTACACACATTATCAAAAAAATCTGTACTATTTTTTCCTCCCCCAAAAAAGCCAAAGTGGTTCAATAAAAGGTATAAATGCGTGCTAAAGTCTAAAGATTTTTGCTATGTACACAACAGCAGGTGCTAATTTTCTCCAGTTCTCTCTTTTTGTAAATCATATACAGAAAATATAGCAGGGCTGTAAAGATCACAGGTTTAACAGAAATCATAACTTCAAACTGATTTCAAAAGCAGCACAAATAGACTTTTCCCACATTATGAAAAATATACAATTTTATCACTTTACAGTCATGCACTTTGTTTGAAAAAGATCAGTAGTACTTTTTCCCCCCAGTTTCTAAAAAGATAAAAGGTCACTTTAACACTGATTTATATCTAATAATATTTGGATAAACATGTGCCATTTTTAAACAAGGTTGTGCTCAGCAGTCTTATTAAAGGTGCAAAGAGCCACCTGACATGGGTTACACCACAGCATTGCAAAAATTTGCATGGAAATGCTGTTTGCTTCAGTCTCTCAAAGAACTTACGGTCCTGATTCCACCTTCCTAAGGCAGGCAAAACTCCATTTGAAGTCTGTGGAAGCTTTGCTTGTCGCAGAGCTGCAGGATTTTGGACCTCAGGACTGAGTAAGGAGACAAAGCTAGTAGCCCCAAGTGTATCAATTTAATGGCCACTAGTTCAAGGGAGCTTCCCCTCCAACTTATTATACAAAGCTTCTCAGGTAGTTTCACTGCAGACTTGGAGCATAGTTAAGTGAATTGAATGTGCATATAAAACACTTAGACAACTGAAAATTTAGCACCCAAGTCATCCTGTAAAGTCATTGAGTGTCATTTCCCCTCCCCCCACCCCCCGGAAGACACTTTTAGCTCAAACAGAGCTAATGTGATGAGTAGCAAGCTTCAAAAAAAGAAATAAAACATACAGCACTAGATTTCATGGATGTTTGTAAAATCCACAATGCACGTCTTATATTTGGGGTGTATGCCGTCAAACAGAATTCTACAAAACATGGTGGCAACCGCTGCTCCTCCTGGATCATGGGGTATGCATGAGGGCCACCCAGACCTTTGATGCATATGCCTGGGCAGGACATTTTTTTTTTTGGAGGAGTGGAGACTACAAAATATACTCTTACCATAATAGTATAAAGGAGCTTTCAGTTGTTTGATTAAAATACTGACTGCCTTGGAAGGCAGCTCTCCAAAGATTTACAGCACAAACGGGCCTCAAATATAGTGCTGCTTCCCCTGCATTTTGAGTTTGTAATCTGCAAGTAGAACCAGAACATCTTGAAGCTACCAAAAGGATTTTGAGAGAGAAAAATCTGATTAAAGAAAAATGTGGGTGAATACTTCATAGCTAGTGAAACTAGTAAACTGGCTAGTGTAGCTCATAGTTTTGTTGAGAGGGAATCACTAAATGCTTATGTGCTAATCTAATATACTCCTAAAACAGCAAACACTTCAATCAGTACAATTAAATCTACAAAGCCTATTGCCAACGCCCTGCTTTAGCTGCAGCTCACTAAAGTCAGTCAATCCTGCCCCAAAAGCCTTGAAAACTGCCTAATCCTCAGGGCTAGATACTGCTAATTAAAATGGTTATTCAAATAGATGGACTAAAGCAGTCCTATATACATTTGATGGCTCACAGGAAAAATTAACCCTTCCCTTGCTCTCTTATTCTGTAAGGAGCAAGCCATATTTCTGCATCACCCCTTCATATTAGAAAAACTCAGGACAATGAAGAAAAAGTCACAAATGGATAGTAT